TCATCGTAACTTTGCATCCGCACCATTTTCTAGTTTTCTTTCTAGACCATTTTCTAGTCCACATCTTAATAAAACATCACATATTGCATAAAAAAGCTTCTTACTGTCGGTAGTATCAACTGCATTGAGACCAAGAAAATATTTGTATATTGTAAAATCTTCAGAAACTGATCGAATACATATAGACATTTGCTTAATACCGAAAATATCTCGAGTTTCATCGCATATTACAGGAAAAAAAAATTATCGATTTAATAGCACTAAGTACATTTTTGAGCACATAACTTGCCATTTGTTCTATCATCTCGTTAACTATATCACGAGACATGTACTTACTGTTTGACAGCCAGCTCGATAGATGTGGATAATTTTCACTCCTCATTAAAAGTTACTGATTAAGATTGCCTTCAATTTCATTATTTTAGCTAAGCCTTGTTGAGTAACACATTTCAATGTTGAGATTACACGAATTAAGCACTCGTAATGCACATCGCATTGCTTATCATGCATTTCACTTATCATTCACTTAAACAAGAGCTTTTTATATTACTATGAAATTTCATAATGGCTCCTAAACTTGTGAATAATCCAAAAATTTGACTAAAAGTTGATACAAAAATACACGTTTTTCAATAAAAAAAAAAAACTTTGTTAAAAGATCCTGCTTTAAGCACTACCTTAATTTATAATAAACAACTCCTTAAAATTTAAACTTAAGGAGAAATTTGTTTAATCTGGTGTTAGCCATCATAGAAAAACTTAAAGAAAAGTTACCAGAGACATGGGGAATACTAAGTTTTTGGTCTGAGGACCTACTAACACTTTTAACTCTTTGGTCCAAGTAGGAGGAATAGATTATCTTTTGGGAAAGATTTTCAGCTCTACCAGAATAAATACTGGAAGCATTAAGTAAGGTAAACTTAGATTTGTCTGCTATACCTAATGCTTTTTTGAACAAATTGTCAGCACATTGACTATAAGTAAATATAGGGCACTGAAGCGCATGTGCGCTTTAGTGTTTTAAGCTTTGACTATAAGTGAATATCAATCTAGCACTGATAAATATCCATCATAGATGTCAACAATGTCATTGATTGGATTTGTCACAGTACATAACTAGATTGGGACACCCTCCTTTCCATAATGCTGTTCTGCACTTGGTTATATTCTGGGTCTACTTTTATATTTTACTTATATAAACGATTTCCATAAGTTTTCAAACATTTTAAACTCAGTTTTATTTGCAGATGATACGAATTTATTTTATTCTAATGGAGATATCAATCTTTTATTTAAAATGGTAAACAAGGAATTTTTAAATCTAGCGGAATGGTTTAAGGCAAACAAATTGTCCTTAAATTTAAATAAAACTAAGTATACTTTTTTTCATAGACTTCACGATAAAGAAAATATTCCATTAAAACTTCCTGATCTTTACATTGGAAACTCTAAAATAATTAAAGAGTCATCATTAAAGTTTTTAGAATTGATACTTGACGAAAACATGACATGGAGAGAACACATAAGAACAATTGAAAATAAAATTTCGAAAAATATTGGCATACTATACAAAACTAAGCAAATCTTAAACCAAAACTGCTTAAAAATCTTATATTTCTCCCTCATACATTGGTATATAAACTATGCAAATATTGCATGGTGCAGCTCTAATGTAAGTTAAGTTAAAAAAATGCTTACTAGACAAAAACACGTTGTAATAAAAAATTTATTTAGTCTTTAGATTTTTTTCCGTTATGATTGGAAAATTATATCAGTTAAATGATAACCGTTATTCGCTATGCAACTCTCGGCTCTTTTCAAGGCATTTTTTAATGACATCCTGTAATATTTCAGGGTAAATTTCTTCAATTTCAAGACGAATATTGTCTTTAAATGTTGAATCATTTGGGGCTTATTCATATAAACTTTTGATTTTAAAAAACCCCATAAGTAAAAAGTCTGGTGCTGTTAAATCCGGAGATCTAGCTGGCCATGCTAAATCGCCATTTCGCAAAATTAGCCTTCGTGGAAAAACGTCATTCAAGAATTGAATTGTTAAACGGACTGTATGTGCTGTGGCCCCATCTTGCTGAAACCACATGTCCTCTAGTCCTTGCTCTTCTATTTCAGGCACAAGAAAATGTCTTGATACCGTTCAGCAGTAACTTGAACACCTTGTTCATTTTCAAACAAATAGGGACCAATGATGTTTCCAGCAAGAATACCACACCATACAGTTATTTTTTGCGGATGCAATGATGTATCATGAATTAATTGAAGGTTCGTTGTTCCCCAAAATCGACTGTTCTGTTTATTGACATGCCATCAAGAAGAAAATGAGCTTCATCGCTCATTATCAATTTAGGCAAAAATTCTTTAATTTCACCACACAGTCGTAGGGTTACTGTACTGAACTCGTTGATCAAGATTTCTTGGTAGCAATTTATGGACTAATTGAATTTTGTACAGGAACATTTTCAAATCAGTTTTCAAAATTCGCCTTAAACTGCGTGCAGAAATGTGTAACTAGGAACCACGTCTCCGAATTGATGTTTCTGGAGACTCTGCAACATTATCACGCACCAGAGCCATATTTTTAGCGTAACAAGACGTCTTTTGTCTTCCAGAACGAAGTCTGTCTGCTGTCGTATCTTACTGTCGAAAATTGGCATGTAATCGATAAATTGTGGAATAAAGGATATTTTTTACGTTATTTTCGCTGACTGTCAATAATGGAACGATCGCTTTCGATAAATATTGTCACTATTTCTACTCGTTCTTGTGGCATATATTTATCCATTATAAAACTGGAGCGTCTACCCAACACAATGCTTAAAGCGAAACTGATCTAAACGACACATAACCAAGATAGCGCGCAATCCAAATTTGTAGCGGGACTTTCACCCAACCCTGTAATAGATATCAGTAACAGTTTGCAAATGTAAAATATATTGATAAAAGCGTGTGTATTAAACGTCTGCATCAAATATGCTTTTAGCACATTTTCTGAAATGTTCCGTAAATAATTGTTCTTATAACATTTAAGAACATTATACTCCTTTTTTTTTAAGATTGTTTATAGGTTGTTTTTGTTTTTTATGTCTCTCAAAGGTATGTTAAACTTCACAAAATGTGATTTATTAATTTTGTGTTTTAGTATCTTTTTTTATTTTTTAATGTAGGTGAACAACTAAAGGACATTGCTACTAGAGTTAGTGTTTTTTTCTAACTGCTTATTACAATTATTTGGATTCTATTAAGATGCTATTGATATATTAAATTGCCAAATAAAGCATAAATAATTTAACATTTAAAATATCTGTTCTATGTGAACAAATTTGATGACTCAATTTGTTTTTTAAATTGATTATTTTACCAGTGAAATGTTATAAATTTGTTTTGTATATTGAGTTATAAAACTTTAAAAAACTATTAATAGCACTTGTTAGGAAGGTTAAATCAATAAGCCATTATAAAGTTATATGATTTTGAAGATAAAAACAAAACAAAACAATACTTGAGCAAAAAAAAAATTTTTTTTTTAAATGGAATCCTATAAAGGATATGGTATAATATTATACCAGATAAATAAAACCAGAAAAAAAAAAGATATAGCAAAGATTTATTTTGAGAAAATGCAATAAAAGTCACCCCATTTAGCGCAATTATACTTATTTTTTAACTAAAACATTTTTTTTTATAGGAGATTTTATTATGAAATCATTTTTTTGTAATATTGTGGGTTAACACACACACACACACACACACACACACACACACACACACACACACACACACACACACACACACACACACACACACACACATACATACACACACACAAACACACACACACACACACACTCATAATTCTTTAAACCGATTTCTTTTACGCCGCTTTTCTTATCAATATTGCTTTTTTTTTTAGCCGGTGCTCTAAAAATTGCGACACGGTTGTGGCAATAATATTTTAATTTTTAAAATTTAAACATTATTCCAATAATTTTATACTATTAGTCTATTTTTAATTTTTTTATGACGAATGTGGAAACCAAGGAAATTTAAAAAACTTTTATTAAAGCTCCTTGATGGAAACCCAAAAAGAAACTAAAAAATTGCTCTTATTGACCGCGTTCGAAAACCTAGCAACAAAAAAACTTTTTGTGTTTTTGTACACGAGTTAACACAACGAATATTATCTTCTGTTTACAATAATAACAGAACTACTTAATTTAAATATTATACTGATAAGAAAGTAATTATAGTTAAATAGATAATGTAATATTATAATAATCTGTATAATTGGAGGTTTATTTTTAAAGTAAATAAAGAAAAAGTATTAGGCGGCTTTAAATCTTATTTAATTAGTTCTTTTGTCTTATAAATAGAATTATAATTAATAGTATTAAAATATTAACATTGAGCTAACAATTATAACTTATAAAGTATTATAATAATCATTAAAAATTATAATATAAGCAAAATTGCTTTTAGTTATCTTTTTTTCAACGTATCAAAAAAATAAACCAAATTTGCTTATGACACTTTTTTTTTTTTTGCATAGCAGAAGCTTTTTTAGTGCAACTAATATGTCACTAAAAAGTTCATTTATATGTAACCTTTTTATTGACTTTTTTAATTGATTTGTGCTCTATTTTCTATTCAAAGCAACTGCTATTCATATTTATATGTTAGTTTCTAAAAAAGGTTGCACGAAGTTGCTTGTAAAACCCATATTTGTCATATGCAAAACTTTTTTTTAACTATTTATAAAATTGCATTTGTAAGTAAACATACTAAGTGGCAAATAATAGTTTTTAATGATATATTAAAGATCATTTACAGAGAAATACCATTGGAAGAGTTTTTTTTTCTGTATCCGTTTAAACATATTGAATTATAATTTGGGCTAATATTTAAGATTTATCTTGCTGTAACCTTTTAACTATTTTATGGTTTTTATTCATTATTAATATTATTTATTTTAGTGTTACATATAATTTTTATTCATTATTTAGGTTCATGAATTTTAGTTATAATATAATATGCGGTTAAAAGTTTCTCTTTTTAAAGAAATTCATATCCTTTTCAAAATGGGTTTATGTATTTTTTTATATACTTATTAATACCATTTATAGTTATTTACAGTAAAATTTTCTTATATACATTTTTCATATAAACCTCAAATTTGTACTTATATAATTGTTAATTTTTCAAAATACTTGCAATTTATTCCTTGACATGTTGAACATACTGAAATAGTAACTTGTGTTGGATGGCTTAATGCCGATGAATTGTTCTCTGCAGGGTGGGATTTTTTTCTTTTGTTTTAAAAGATATGATATTTTACATGCATACTTTTATTTCATTTATTATGTTGTTTTACAAGTTTGAGCTCTTTAATAAATTTAAATATAGTTTTTAACATTTTAGAGATGATCATAAAGTTGTTAAATCTCAAATATCAGGAGAGTCATCTTTAGTATGTTTTTAAAAATTATTTAATTTGTTTCTATAATTTAAACGTTGATTAAAAAAGCTCTACTAATAGCACTCACATAAAAAATCTTATAAAACTCAGACAAGTGCAGTTTTTATAAAAATTTGATATTGTGAACTGCTGTAATAAATATGTTTTGTTTTATTTCAATTGTGTTGTTATAAGCAATGTTTCTGAAAAACATAACTACATTATGTTAACAGTAATTAAAGGGAATTATCGAAATTGATTGTAAAAAGTAAATAATAAATTCAGATAAAAAATTTATAAAGACATTTACAAAAATATAGTTTTTAACATTTTAGAGATGATCATAAAGTTGTTAAATCTCAAATATCAGGAGAGTCATCTTTAGTATGTTTTTAAAAATTATTTAATTTGTTTCTATAATTTAAACGTTGATTAAAAAAGCTCTACTAATAGCACTCACATAAAAAATCTTATAAAACTCAGACAAGTGCAGTTTTTATAAAAATTTGATATTGTGAACTGCTGTAATAAATATGTTTTGTTTTATTTCAATTGTGTTGTTATAAGCAATGTTTCTGAAAAACATAACTACATTATGTTAACAGTAATTAAAGGGAATTATCGAAATTGATTGTAAAAAGTAAATAATAAATTCAGATAAAAAATTTATAAAGACATTTACAAAAATATAGTTTTTAACATTTTAGAGATGATCATAAAGTTGTTAAATCTCAAATATCAGGAGAGTCATCTTTAGTATGTTTTTAAAAATTATTTAATTTGTTTCTATAATTTAAACGTTGATTAAAAAAGCTCTACTAATAGCACTCACATAAAAAATCTTATAAAACTCAGACAAGTGCAGTTTTTATAAAAATTTGATATTGTGAACTGCTGTAATAAATATGTTTTGTTTTATTTCAATTGTGTTGTTATAAGCAATGTTTCTGAAAAACATAACTACATTATGTTAACAGTAATTAAAGGGAATTATCGAAATTGATTGTAAAAAGTAAATAATAAATTCAGATAAAAAATTTATAAAGACATTTACAAAGATGCATTATTATGAGTTTTTAAATATTATTAAGAAATCAACCAAACAGATTAGGAGATTCATGAAGAAATGTTGGTCATTGCAAGTATTTCAATATATATATATATATATATATATATATATATATATATATATATATATATATATATATATATATATATATATATATATATATATGTATATATATATATATATATATATATATATATATATATATATATATATATATATATATATATATATATATATATATATGTATATATGTATATATGTATATATGTATATATATATATATATATATATATATATATATATATATATATATATATATATATATATATATATATATATTATAATATATTACAAACTTTTTTTTCTTTTTGATGCCTAATTAAAACCAAATAAAAATTAATATAAAAATAATTCAAATAGTTAAAACCAAGTAAAATGATAAAACTAAATGATAACAATATTAGTTCTGTTGAGGCTGATCTAGCATTACATGTTAAAAATTTGTAAACAAATTTAATAAAAAACGTGAGTACACATCAATCACATATGTACAAATTAAAAGTCATGTCTAAATATGTGATTGACGTTTGCACATGTGGTTATAGTGTATGCATTTGATAGATGTGTACACATGCAATTGATATGTGCACATAAAAATGTATTGGTAAAGTATTTCTGTACTTCAACAACATATTTAATGATATCTTCGTGTTTTTTACTTCTTTAAATATTTGAATAATGTTGAGAACACACATATGTTAAAAGGTTTGAATAGGTTTCTTTGATGGCTAGCATTTATTCATCTTATTTTCATTGTCTGTTATAATTGGAATACATATTAGTTTAATCTTTTCTTATGGTTTTTAATGTTAAAAAAGGGTTTGTTGCAAGACTTTTTGTTTTCTTAAATGATGCAGAACTTTTTTAAACAGCTCTCCAAGCATTTTATGTTTTGGTGGACTAAATCTTGGTCCTAATCAATGAATTATATTGAGTTCTAAAACTGGAATGGTAGATAAGTATCAGGTGTCAAAGTCATCACAAAACTTAGCAAGCCTCTATCACACTGACATGAAAATACTTTTTCTTTTCAAATACTTGTAGCAAAATTTAATAATACTTTGTTTTCAAGGAGTTGCTTTCACACAAGCAATCTGAAACTTACAAATATTTTCTTGGATTATGCTGCTTTGACTTGTCCTTAATGGAAATTAAATAAATATTTTTAGTCTAAGCATCAATATATAGAGGAGAATTTAATAGAAACCTATGTAAGCATCTCTTAAAAAAGTAGGCATCTCTTGAACATCTCTTGTTTTCTAGAAGAATTACTTGAAATGAAAAAGTAGGATTTAATGAGAAATGTTTCTATTAAACCCAGTTTTGAATGTTTCTATTAAACCCAGTTTTGAATGTTTCTATTAAACCCAGTTTTAAATGTTTCTATTAACCCAGTTTTGAATGTTTTTATTAACCCAGTTTTGAATGTTTCTATTAACCCAGTTTTAAATGTTTCTTTTAACCCAGTTTTGAATGTTTCTATTAACCCAGTTTTGAATGTTTCTATTAAACCCAGTTTTGAATGTTTCTATTAAACCCAGTTTTGAATGTTTCTATTAAACCCAGTTTTGAAGCAATAAAAATTTTCTCATATAGAGTTTATGGAAAACTGAAGAATTGAATGAAGTTTGCCTAATTAAAGGTAATACTTCAAGAATTATTGAAAATTAATTACTATTAAAAACTAATAGAAAAATAACATGAAAAACTTGAAATAAAATTGCTGTTATTGGTATAACTACGCACTTGCATAACTGAAAAAATGTCTCTTTGAAAAAAAACTTTTTGATAAATAGGATTTCCCGAAAATCACTTGTAAAAAAATTCTTGTCTCAAAATTTGCAAATAATTTTTTGCAATGTGTTCCAACAACAGCAAATATTATAAAAAAAAGTTAGCAAGAAATAAAGTACAATTTAAAAAATTACATATTTATTTGGTTTAGAACCCACTATTTCTTTAAAAGTTTTGCCTTTTTTTTTCACTAAAAAGTTAAATAAATGTTTTTTGATTATATCAAACTGTTTTTAGAAGTTTGTTTAATGAGGAAAAAAGATTTCTTTACTTTACTGGTTGCTTATATTTAAAACGTAAATTAAACTGGTATATTATTACTTGAATTTAAAACATAAAAGCAAATTTAAATGTTTCAAGGAACCATAGTCATAATAACATTTTATGACTATGCATGAAAAAATAATTTTTGGTATTCTTCAATTAAACAACATTTATTGTTGTTTTATTGAGACATTGTAATTGTAACTTTATTTTGCTATGAGATTTATTTATAAATAAAGTTGATATAAATTATAAAATTGAACTCGCAATAAATTTGAAATATGAAATTTATGAGCTGTTTTCAAAACCTTTTTTAAAACATTTTCAGTTTTTCATTTTTAAAAGATTTCTTTTAATGACACGATTTTTTACATGATGGTGTAAGGATTTGTCCATAAAGGACATCAAACAGAATTTAATCAATAATTAAAAGTAGAAGATAGCTATATTACTTTAAAAATTGCCCTTTAATGCCCACCTATGAAAAAAAAAAAAAAAAAATATATATATATTCAAAAGAAACTCTTAACTTGAAACCGGCAACGATATATTTGGGTTAAAAGTAAATCAAATATATTATTCTTAATATTAATTAATACACACCAGCGCTCGAAATAGTTTTTCAAAGCTTGCCGATCAAATGTATTTTTTTTCCCACAAAAACAGGTTATTTTCACTTGGATTTTTTGAAATTTCCCTAAAAATAGCTGATTATTGATTGTTTATTGACCGTTATTTTAAGCGTTGGCGCACTGATTATTTTATAATATAAAAATATACAATTTTAAATAAATCTTTCGAAATTGGACCTTAATTTGCCTTGTCGTGTGAAACCACATTTAATTTTGTGTTGATTTCATATTCATCTTCAATAAATGTTACAGACGATATTTTGTTTTATTTTTGGTGCTGTATGCAGCGCTAAAGTGGAGTAGAGGAAGAAATGTTATAAGAAAAGAACCCTACATATTCCCGGTACTTATTTTAATCTCAGGAAGGGTATATTCGGGAGATTTTTTGATAAATTCCTAAGCTCGTCAAAACGCTGTATCAAATTAATTCCTAGTTAACACCCTGGTAATATAGTCTGATTTGATTTCTTATTGAATATATTATCCATTTTAAAAATTTTTTATAGTAAATAAATAAAGCAGAAGAGCATTGTAGTTTTTTTATATTTTAGTTTTTTTGTGATGTTAATGAAAATATTAAATAAATGATAACTTGATAAGTTGAAAGTCACATATCCATATAAAAACCAAAATGCCAGTACAATTTTTTTGGGCAACATTTTTTTACCTTTTGGTAGTTCTATGTCTTTGTGTTAAGGCATGTAAGAAAATCAAAATTATTTTCAATATTAATGAACAAAAATAAAGTAAAAAATATATAATAAAAACAAAATTTGAAATACCCAATAATTAAAACCATTAAAAGTAATAATAATTTGCTATTTTTTTGCTTACATTTTTCTAGGCTGTTCAATTAGGTCAAGAATGTTTTGCTACAGACATACATTGGTTTCCTAAAGGTGCTAGCAGCAAAAAAGCTGGGAATGAAATTTTTGCTCTTGCATCCACTGAAGGTAACTTTTGCATTATTTCATAAGTATTTTATTTTTGTAGAAATTATTTTTTATTTTTCTTTGTTATAAGTAATTAATTAGTAGATATATTCCAAAAATAAAATATGTATTTTTAGGAAAACTATACTTTATATCAAAGAGTGGCAGAATTGAAAAAACTGTTGACGCCCATCGTGGTGCCCTTTTATCTTGCCGATGGAACTATGATGGAAATGCTATAATTACAGGTAATTTTTTTCATAAAAATATGAATGTTTATCATTTTAACAACTGACATCACTTGTTAACATATCTTGAAAAATTTTAGAAAGAATTATTTTTTTAAGGTGGTGAAGATGGTCAGGTAAAAGTGTGGTCAAGTAGTGGAATGTTGCGCTCAACCCTTCTAACATTAGGTAGTAAATATAACTATCTGAAATAATCAAATTTTGTTTAATTTTATGTGTATTTTTTTTTTAATTTTTTCAAAATAGATGATATCATATCTTAAGGAAACCTGAAGTAAATTATCAATCTTAAGGATTTTTTTATCCCACCTTCCTTTCCAGAAAATACCATGCTTTGTAATTAGGATCACCAAAATATAATATTATATAATTGTATTAAGTCAAAAAAAAAGTTTCATTTATGCCTAAGTAGTCTGTGAATGCTAAGAGATAATACAATGAACTGGTAGGAATGATGAGAGATAACACAATGCACTGGGAGGAAATGGAAATTACCTTTTTTTGATATGTGTAAATATAAGTATGTATTGTATGTTATTGCAAAAAATGAAAATCTTATATTATAAAATTTGCTTATTTCTACAAAGAATTTAAGAAAATTTAAAATGCTTTAGCTATAAAATGATTAAACTGTTTTTCTTACTAAACCCTCACTTTAAGTGAACAAACTTATTTTTTATTTTATATTTTGATTAATTTAGATTAGTCATTAATTATCTTAGACTTAAATTATTATTTTTTTATTTATCAATTAACAATTTATTTATTTGTATTTGTTATTTGATAAGCTTGCGATGTGTAATCTGTGGGTGGTGGTTACCTGGTGGGGTAATTTGAGTCCTTTTAAAAATTGTATTTAGTTTTAACATACATATAGAGCCCTCGAAATTAGAAAAAAATAAGGTTGGAAAAAAATAACCAACCGAAAAATATTTGTCAGGTTGGTGTCAGGTTGGCACAATATTTAGAAAATTGGATTGTCAAGTCAACAAACTGCAAACATTTAGCATAAAATTGAATAAATAATTTTATAATTTCTTTTAATTTTTTAGTTTGTAAATTATATGGTAATTGGTTGGGTGTCTAATGACAACCTGCACCATCTTTAGTTTTAGCAAATCCTAAATACTTTTGTTAAAAAGTAAATGGTAGCTTGCAGATTTAAAATAGAAAATCAAATTTAAATCTGCAAGCTGCCATGTTTTATTATTACTTATTTAAATATTTATATTGTTTTCTGTTTTTCTTTTCAAATTTTATTCAATTATAAAAAGAATTTTTGTTCAGCTGTGTCAGTATATTCAGTTGTGTGGAGTCCTAACTCAGATGCAATACTTTGTACAAATGGAAAACAGCTGATGATTAAACCACTACAACCTTCTGGTAAAGTTACTCAGGTAATCTTGAATTAGTTTATTAAATTTATAATTAAGCAAGGAACATATGCGTTTTTTTTGTTGCTTTGGTGAAAATAAAGCTTGGACAAAAAATCTTAGATGTCTGGAGATTTTGAAAATAATTTTTTGGATTTCTTCTATACTGTTTTGTCTATAGAATTTGGAAATAAATTTTCAGACGTTTGGGATGACAGAATGTTTTTCTGAATTCTGTGATGACAGAATTGTTTTTACTTCTGCAATGACCTATTTCTAATGTGAAAGCTAGCTGGCTGACTTTTACATTAGAAATAAGAATCCTTTTGGTACTAAGAAAACTGGCTTTAAAACTTAGTTCTTGTTGCTTCCTACTTTAATTGTACTGAGTGACACTTGAAGTAGGAAGCTTGAACAGGTAGGGTTACTCATACAGCATATCTTGAACCACTGATTGTATTCTGTGGGTATAACAGTTTGATATTTAGTTTGATGCAATTTTTCAAACTTTAGCATTGTGCAAGCTCCCAATTATTACTGTGCAAACAAGTTTTGTCTTTGTGTTAAAGTTTTTAAACTGAGTTCTGGCCCTTTTTTATGTTGCAGAACACACATGTATATATATATATATATATATATATATATATGTATATATATATATATATATATATATATATATATATATATATATATATATATATATATATATATATATATATATATTGTTGTTTTATTGTACCAAATTAAGATACAAAAATCTCTTGTTCGTTTGAGAGTGATCAATATAATGTAAGTGTTTACAAAATAGATCAATAATAATAATAATAATAGAGTTTGATTATTTGAAAAAATACAACTTTTTGATGGTACTTGAAGTTTCATGCCCTTCGGCAATCATCAGCCATATTTTATTCTTTTAAAACAAGAAAAACCGTTAAAAAATACAAAATACAAAAATTAACAGAAAAAACAATAACAAAGCAATAGAATGAGTTCTGACGTCAAAACAAAATTTTTAATTAGAAAATTGTTTAATCAGCCGTGTCGAAGTGGGCGAGAAGAAACTTGTTTCGATGCCTGCATTTGGATATCATTTCACTTTTTTTGTTAATTAGATTTTTATTTTTGGAAAACAGAATTTGATATTTTTCATTTATACACAGTTTGCAAGACTTCATGGTTGGGTTGTAAGCATTGCACCGCTTAATTATTTTCCATTTAATAACTGGATTTAAATTTGCATCTTTCAGTTTCCAAAATTCTTTTGATAGTTCAGTGTCATTTTTGTATTTTTGAATGGTAAAAGATTTTATATGGTTGGCATATCTAATTTTGAATGGTGTTTCGCTTATACCGATGTATAGTTTGTTGACAGGATTGGTAGTAGGATTAGTTGAACTTATTTTAGCTTGGTATACAATGTTTTTTGTTAAGCATTAGTTTGATAGAGGGCAGGTGCTTTTATTAAGGCAGTTGCAATTGGTTTTAGGTGGATCTTTTTTGTTGTTCATAATTTGTCGATTGTGTGCATTTAGGATAGATTTCATGTTCGGCATACAGCTATAACTTACTTTTATGTTGTTTCTGTTGAAGATTTTGTGGAACTTGTGATTTATTGGGAAGTGTTTGTTGACTAAAGTTAAGAAGCTTTTTCCTATGTTAGTGCTTACATTTTTGCTGAAAGGTGGGTTAAACCAAATGATGTTGCGTTTACGGTTTTTTGTATAAGGTGAATTTAAATTAGGGTTGTATGAAAGTTTATGATTAAAACCAGACTTTAACAGTGCGTCATTGTATGCAGGAGTAGATCTTTGGAAAATTTCTTCACTTGAGGAATTTGCAGACAATCTTAACTCAATTGAATGCGGAAGCTGTTTTAAAATATTTGGCGGTTGGTTTGAATCAGTGTGAATATAATTTAAAGAATTTCCGGGCTTAGAATATGGTTGGAAAGTATGGTCATTTAGATTTAATGTGACGTCGAGGTAATTTACAATTTTCATGTTGCATTGTATTGATATATTGAGTTCGTTTTTTTTAAATATTTCAACAAGATGTTTTTTAATTTTTTCCATTTGGGGGCCACTCATATTTTTAAAAACTGCTAAGCCGTCATCGCGGTATAGTCCGAAATCATTTTTATTATAAACCTGTGCAACTTGAGACATTTTATATTAATTAGATATGCCAACCATATAAAATCTTTTACCATTCAAAAATACAAAAATGACACTGAACTATCAAAAGAATTTTAGAAACTGAAAGATGCAAATTTAAATCCAGTTATTAAATGGAAAATAATTAAGCAGTGCAATGCTTACAACCTAACCATGAAGTCCTGCAAACTGTGTATAAATGAAAAATATCAAATTCTGTTTTCCAAAAATAAAAATCTAATTAACAAAAAAAGTGAAATGATATCCAAATGCAGGCATCAAAACAAGTTTCTTCTCGCCCACTTCGATACGGCTGATTAAACAATTTTCTAATTAAAAATTTTGTTTTGACGTCAGAACTCATTCTATTGCTTTGTTATTGTTTTTTCTGTTAATTTTTGTATTTTGTATTTTTTAACGGTTTTTCTTGTTTTAAAAGAATAAAATATGGCTGATGATTGCCGAAGGGCATGAAACTTCAAGTACCATCAAAAAGTTGTATTTTTTCAAATAATCAAACTCTATTATTATTATTATTATTATTGATCTATTTTGTAAACACTTACATTATATTGATCACCCTCAAACGAACAAGAGATTTTTGTATCTTAATTTGGTACAAAATAAAAACAATAATCAGCTCCGTACGTTGAGCACTCTTCTCAATTCGTCTACATAATGAAAAAAACTAACTTGAATTATTCAATCAAGAACATTCCGATTCCATCAATAAAGGACTACAAAATACAGTTACTTGATAAAACCAAAGCATTAATAAAAAGAATGAGATGGAAAGCTTTCTTTTTCATCAATAAAGATCAAAAAAGTAAGGAAAATTTTTATTATAACAATTACGGCTTAAAAACATCAAATTACCCCAAGCAAATTTCCGACATGACTGCATTTGAAAACGATCTGATAGACCTAATAAAAAATATTAAATTCCGTAAAGTCTACAATAATTTCCAAAACAAATTAAAGAATGACATATCTACCATACGCAATAGCAAACTTACTTACACTTTTTCCAATAAAACATCCAATTTATATAATATATCTAAAGAAAATTACACCCATTTACTTACAAATGCTATCACCTCAACATACAAAAAATCGAATACAAAAATAAAAAATCAAATAAATAAAGAAGGTAAACAGATATTACAGAATCACAACGTTTTTAATAAAATTAATATTAACACACCTTCAAATTGCTTTATAAAATTAAAAGACCATAAAGAAAACTTTACAAACAATCCAACTGTCCGTTTATTAAACCCCGCCAAAAACGAAATCGGCAGAATTAGTAAAGTTATACTTTCTAATATAAACTCTGAACTTGTCAATAAATTTCACCTCAATCAATGGAAAAAAACACAAGATACCACAAACTGGTTTAATTGCATCAGAAATAAACACCTTTATAAATTCCTTATTTTTGACATTGTTGATTTTTACCCATCAATAACAGAAAAATTACTCATCAATGCTATCCATTTTGCTGAACAACATCTAAATATTGAACCTAACCATAAATCATTGATCTATCACGCAAGGAAGTCATTATTATATAATGATGATCAAGTTTGGATAAAAAAATCAGGCGGTTTATTCGATGTTTCAATGGGAGCATTTGACGGAGCTGAAGTTTGTGAACTCGTGGGAATTTATCTATTGTCTCAAGTTGCACAGGTTTATAATAAAAATGATTTCGGACTATACCGCGATGACGGCTTAGCAGTTTTTAAAAATATGAGTGGCCCCCAAATGGAAAAAATTAAAAAACATCTTGTTGAAATATTTAAAAAAAACGAACTCAATATATCAATACAATGCAACATGAAAATTGTAAATTACCTCGACGTCACATTAAATCTAAATGACCATACTTTCCAACCATTTTCTAAGCCCGGAAATTCTTTAAATTATATTCACACTGATTCAAACCAACCGCCAAATATTTTAAAACAGCTTCCGCATTCAATTGAGTTAAGATTGTCTGCAAATTCCTCAAGTGAAGAAATTTTCCAAAGATCTACTCCTGCATACAATGACGCACTGTTAAAGTCTGGTTTTAATCATAAACTTTCATACAACCCTAATTTAAATTCACCTTATACAAAAAACCGTAAACGCAACATCATTTGGTTTAACCCACCTTTCAGCAAAAATGTAAGCACTAACATAGGAAAAAGCTTCTTAACTTTAGTCAACAAACACTTCCCAATAAATCACAAGTTCCACAAAATCTTCAACAGAAACAACATAAAAGTAAGTTATAGCTGTATGCCGAACATGAAATCTATCCTAAATGCACACAATCGACAAATTATGAACAACAAAAAAGATCCACCTAAAACCAATTGCAACTGCCTTAATAAAAGCACCTGCCCTCTATCAAACTAATGCTTAACAAAAAACATTGTATACCAAGCTAAAATAAGTTCAACTAATCCTACTACCAATCCTGTCAACAAACTATACATCGGTATAAGCGAAACACCATTCAAAATTAGATATGCCAACCATATAAAATCTTTTACCATTCAAAAATACAAAAATGACACTGAACTATCAAAAGAATTTTGGAAACTGAAAGATGCAAATTTAAATCCAGTTATTAAATGGAAAATAATTAAGCGGTGCAATGCTTACAACCCAACCATGAAGTCTTGCAAACTGTGTATAAATGAAAAATATCAAATTCTGTTTTCCAAAAATAAAAATCTAATTAACAAAAAAAGTGAAATGATATCCAAATGCAGGCATCGAAACAAGTTTCTTCTCGCCCACTTCGACACGGCTGATTAAACAATTTTCTAATTAAAAATTTTGTTTTGACGTCAGAACTCATTCTATTGCTTTGTT